TAACATTAAAACATATTTATTAAATTAAATTTATGTTAATAAAGGATTAAAAAATATTTATAACCCTTAAATATGAAAATTATTGAAAATTAGAAATTATAATTTATAATTATATAAATACATATATATTAGAAACCAATAATATATATCATTGGTTTCTTCTAAAATATATTTATTTAGTTCTTTAGATTTCCTATCCAATTAATCTCTTATTAGAGGGGGTGAATTCATTAATAGAGGTGAAAAAGTAAAGTATTTTACCACTACCATTTATGGAGTCGTATAATAATACCAATTTGTAATTCTTTTTTTTTCTTCAATCTTTTAATATAAATTTTGGGTAATTTCTTCATTTATTAATTTAATTGTAAAATTTTATCAGTTGATGAGTTTTTAAAATCTTAAGGGATATTATTTTTGGGTTAGATCTTAATCAATTTTGTTAAAATCCTCTTGAAGTAATCAATGGTTATGTATTTATGACTCAGCTGTGTACATAATCTCAGTGATTTATAAATGTTTATTATTTGATGTATGTAAAATTTAAGTTGAGCTTAAGTAAATCAGTAATTAAGATTCATAGATGGTAATTTGGAAAGATATATGTATTTCCTTAAATCTTAATCCTTTCAATGATATCATATTTCTTGATGATTAATCAATCTTTTCAGTCTTTAAATATATCTAATATTTTGAATTCAATTAATAAATAATAATAATAAGTTATGAAAATATTACCAAGAGTGGAGTAATTTAAAAAATCATTTGTTATTCTCTGTTTAGATTATTAATTTAATGTGGTATCATTTATAATTAAAGCTCAAGAAATATATATTGAGTTATTGATTGTAATTATAATTGTTGCTTGATAATGATCAAAATCACTTTTTCTATAAGTCTCCTAAAATACAGCTACCTTTTGATTTCAATAAAGGTCTCAAATCAGTGCCTTGATGGTTGATGAATTCTCCTTTGAGGAGAAGTGCTCCTTATGCTTAAAATATAGCAGATTAGGATATAAGGAGTGTAGTGATGTAATTGGAGGCTAAAAATATGATAGGAGATAAATACTACCTTCGGAAATATGGTTATGTTATTGGAGTGGAATCTTAAATAATGCAAGAATATCTTTGTAGTTTTTATCAGAGGATTTAATTTCTTATCCTGTCTTTATATCCCATAGGCGGATAGAGTTATCATCACTACCAGAAGCTAATGTATTTCCACCAGGAGAAAAACAGATTGAGTTAATACAACTAATATGACCAACTAATTTGGCTTTTTAATATCCTGTTTTTACATCCCATAGACGGATAGAGTTATCATCACTACCAGAAGCTAAAGTATTTCCATCAGGAGAAAAACAGACTGAGTAGACATAATGAGTATGACCATCTAATTTGGCTTTTTATTATCCTGTTTTGACATCCCATAGACGGATAGGCTTATCAGCACTACCAGAAGCTAATGTATTTCCATCAGGAGAGAAACAGACTGAGTAGACAGTTCCACTATGACCATCTAATTTGGCTTTTTATTATCTTGTTTTGACATCCCATAGACGGATAGACTTATCACTACTACCAGAAGCTAATGTATTTCCATCAGGAGAGAAACAGACAGACATGACAGGATATGATTGAGCATCTAATTTGGCTATTTTTTTTTTACTCTTAACATCCCATAGACGGATAGACTTATCTTTACTGCTTGAAGCTAATGTATTTCCATCAGGTGAAATACAGACTGAGTTGATCTTACTACTATGGCCATCCAATTTGGCTTTTTATTATCCTGTTTTGACATCCCATAGACGGATTGAGCAATCACCATCTCCATATTCTCTACCACCTCCAGAAGCTAATATATTTCCATCAGGAGAGAAACAGACTGATCTAACATAATCACTATGACCATCTAATCTGGCTTTTTATTCTCCTGTTTTGACATCCAATAGACGGATAGAGTTATCGCGACTACCAGAAGCTAATGTATTTCCATCAGGAGAGAAACAGACTGAGTTGACATAATTACTATGACCATCTAATTTGGCTTTTTATTATCCTGTTTTGACATCCCATAGACGGATAGACTTATCATCACTACCAGAAGCTAATGTATTTCCATCAGGAGAGAAACAGACTGAGTAGACATAATTACTATGACCATCTAATTTGGCTTTTTATTATCCTGTTTTGACATCCCATAGACGGATAGACTTATCATCACTACCAGAAGCTAATGTATTTCCATCAGGAGAGAAACAGACTGAGTTAATACAATTACTATGACCATCTAATTTGGCTTTTTATTATCCTGTTTTGACATCCCATAGACGGATAGACTTATCATCACTACCAGAAGCTAATGTATTTCCATCAGGAGAGAAACAGACTGAGTAGACATAATTACTATGACCATCTAATTTGGCTTTTTATTATCCTGTTTTGACATCCCATAGACGGATAGACTTATCATCACTACCAGAAGCTAATGTATTTCCATCAGGAGAGAAACAGACTGAGTTAACATAATTACTATGACCATCTAATTTGGCTTTTTATTATCCTGTTTTGACATCCCATAGACGGATAGACTTATCATCACTACCAGAAGCTAATGTATTTCCATCAGGAGAGAAACAGACTGAGTTAACATAATTACTATGACCATCTAATTTGGCTTTTTATTATCCTGTTTTGACATCCCATAGACGGATAGACTTATCATCACTACCAGAAGCTAATGTATTTCCATCAGGAGAGAAACAGACTGAGTTAACATAATTACTATGACCATCTAATTTGGCTTTTTATTATCCTGTTTTGACATCCCATAGACGGATAGACTTATCATCACTACCAGAAGCTAATGTATTTCCATCAGGAGAGAAACAGACTGAGTTAACATAATTACTATGACCATCTAATTTGGCTTTTTATTATCCTGTTTTGACATCCCATAGACGGATAGACTTATCATCACTACCAGAAGCTAATGTATTTCCATCAGGAGAGAAACAGACTGAGTTAACATAATTACTATGACCATCTAATTTGGCTTTTTATTATCCTGTTTTGACATCCCATAGACGGATAGACTTATCATCACTACCAGAAGCTAATGTATTTCCATCAGGAGAGAAACAGACTGACTTAACATAATTACTATGACCATCTAATTTGGCTTTTTATTATCCTGTTTTGACATCCCATAGACGGATAGACTTATCATCACTACCAGAAGCTAATGTATTTCCATCAGGAGAGAAACAGACTGACCAGACATAATTACTATGACCATCTAATTTGGCTTTTTATTATCCTGTTTTGACATCCCATAGACGGATAGACTTATCATCACTACCAGAAGCTAATGTATTTCCATCAGGAGAGAAACAGACTGAGTAGACATAATTACTATGACCATCTAATTTGGCTTTTTATTATCCTGTTTTGACATCCCATAGACGGATAGACTTATCATCACTACCAGAAGCTAATGTATTTCCATCAGGAGAGAAACAGACTGACCAGACATAATTACTATGACCATCTAATTTGGCTTTTTATTATCCTGTTTTGACATCCCATAGACGGATAGACTTATCATCACTACCAGAAGCTAATGTATTTCCATCAGGAGAGAAACAGACTGAGTTAATATAATTACTATGACCATCTAATTTGGCTTTTTATTATCCTGTTTTGACATCCCATAGACGGATAGACTTATCATCACTACCAGAAGCTAATGTATTTCCATCAGGAGAGAAACAGACTGAGTTAATATAATTACTATGACCATCTAATTTGGCTTTTTATTATCCTGTTTTGACATCCCATAGACGGATAGACTTATCATCACTACCAGAAGCTAATGTATTTCCATCAGGAGAGAAACAGACTGAGTTAATATAATTACTATGACCATCTAATTTGGCTTTTTATTATCCTGTTTTGACATCCCATAGACGGATAGACTTATCATCACTACCAGAAGCTAATGTATTTCCATCAGGAGAGAAACAGACTGAGTTAATATAATTACTATGACCATCTAATTTGGCTTTTTATTATCCTGTTTTGACATCCCATAGACGGATAGACTTATCATCACTACCAGAAGCTAATGTATTTCCATCAGGAGAGAAACAGACTGAGTTAATATAATTACTATGACCATCTAATTTGGCTTTTTATTATCCTGTTTTGACATCCCATAGACGGATAGACTTATCATCACTACCAGAAGCTAATGTATTTCCATCAGGAGAGAAACAGACTGAGTTAATATAATTACTATGACCATCTAATTTGGCTTTTTATTATCCTGTTTTGACATCCCATAGACGGATAGACTTATCATCACTACCAGAAGCTAATGTATTTCCATCAGGAGAGAAACAGACTGAGTTAATATAATTACTATGACCATCTAATTTGGCTTTTTATTATCCTGTTTTGACATCCCATAGACGGATAGACTTATCATCACTACCAGAAGCTAATGTATTTCCATCAGGAGAGAAACAGACTGACATAACATAATTACTATGACCATCTAATTTGGCTTTTTATTATCCTGTTTTGACATCCCATAGACGGATAGAGTTATCATTACTACCAGAAGCTAATGTGTTTCCATCAGGAGAGAAACAGACTGAGTAGACATAATGAGTATGACCATCTAATTTGGCTTTTTATTATCCTGTTTTGACATCCCATAGACGGATAGACAAATCAGCACTACCAGAAGCTAATGTATTTCCATCAGGAGAAATACAGACTGAGTTAATACAATTACTATGACCATCCAACCTATTCAATTCATGGACTTTAATGTTCTTCCATTTACAATTGAACATTTAAGCTCCATTAAAATTGACTCCACTGATATCCACATTCTCAAATTCTGATCCATTCATATTACATCGTACAAAGTTTCCTCCAACTAAAGAAGTATTCTTGATCCTGATACTCTCAAATGATAGGTTTCTTAGATCTACCTTCATTATTACCAGCATATGAAGTGAATTGGATCCACATTAGATGAATTGATCATCTATACTTGTAATTTGCACTAAAAATTTCAATAACTCAATCATGTTCTTATCACCTTATATCTTCTTTATCAGATCCTTTTTAATTTCTTCAAATTGTTCTGAGTAATAATCTTTCTAATTGAATTCATGATCTTTTAAGTTCTTCAGGATATTTATTATCTTTTTCATTTGCTCCTTCTCCTTTTTATCTTAATATTTAAATGATTAGAGATATGCCACACAATCTTTAATTTACTCCTTCTTGAGCATATCTAAGAGTTTCTTAAATATTGATGATGGGTCATCATCATCAATAATAATCTAATTAGCATTAGATAAAATTTGTAAGAGATCCTCATATCTCTTAAATACCTCCTGCTCTTCTTGTACTACTTCTACCTATTATTACACACGTCTATAAATATATTAATTAAAAACTTCTTTTTACCTAATTGATTTTGTCTCATCAGGAGCGATATTGATTATCATCTATATCTTCACTTGAGGAGTATTAGGTAATTTTACAATTTTGGTACTTGGGTTCTATTCAGGAGCTGGCTTAAAACACATTTAATCGTAAATGGAGTCAATGGCTTCATTGACTCGATCGTATGATTCCTAAGATGGTAAAAAAAGAAATTTGCTACATCTATAAATTGATGGAAGTTTTGAATGTACTGCTGAGTCAAAGCTTTCATTTGTTCTGCTTGCTGTTCTGGCAAAGATACTGATTGCATTGGAACGAAGGGAAGAAAAACAATTATTTAAATTAATGATTTGAAAAAATGGATTTCTATTATTTTAAATCATTTATTTTGTATAATTAGGTGATTTATTTTTTGGTGGAATATAATTTTACATTTCTCATTTCTTAATACAAAGTTGTAAAACAGAAAGAAAAAAAGGGAGACATTTTTGTATATTTGTTACAGGTAGGGAGGGTGAAAAAGGTATAGAGAAGAATTTTTATGTTTCAGGCACTTAGGGTGTATTCCTGTTTTTTAGTATAATTTGTGATATTTTGGTTATTAATAGAGAAGAATGAATGAATAGATACAGTTATAATTGTTTTAATTACTTTTTTCTCTTAATTATTAAGGTTTTGAACTACTCATTACACTTATTCAAATAGATAGGCAAACAACAGTTGAAACTGTTTCCAAAAAAACCCTTAAAAACCAGTAGCAACCTTAATACCCTCGAAAGGTTGGGTTTGGGTTTGGGTTTGGGTTTGGGTTTGGGTTTGGG